ATTTAGAAACATTAAACCAGAGGTAACCAATTAAAAATCAGCGGGTCTGAATAAAGAAAATCATCAACCAGTAAATTATTTGATCGTTTTATTATAATCTGATTGTTTTGGTTTCATAAGTAACAGGTATTTAAAATCTAAAAGTCACCATAAAGTTGTATTTTTTAGTCTGAGACGACTGACTTCTCTTTCCAGACCTTCAAAATAAAGTAAGGTGAGAGCCTAAAAGCTTTTTCTGATAGTTATTAACCGTTTTTTTAGCTTTCTGGGAAAATAAGATTCTGTTAAAGGTCTACGATTACTAGAGTTCATAATTATTGCCCGCTATTTCTAGCAGAAAAAACAATTAAACAGATTGATACAGGAATGAATCATTTTCATTTCAATTCACTAAAAAGAACTGCTGTTTCCATGACTACTGGATGCGCCCAACTCTCAAAACACCTTTGCTCTGATCGTTCCTCCATTTTCTGTATGAAATATATTTATTCTGAATATCATTTTTAAAACTTTAACCTCTGCAAAACCACCGGTGTTTACAACTAATAACTCAGAACGCATGAAAAGTCCACGGATTAAAAGTTATCCAGCATATTGAAAATAAAAATATTCCATTATGAGAAAATCGCCACATAACCTCCAGTTTTTGACATCAGAAATGTTAGCTGGTCATAGCTAATGCTTAGCATCTTGCTAATATTTACGTCGTATTTCCTCATTTGTTAGCCCACGATGTTTAGTATGGTTCATTACATCGTCTTCTTACCTACAAACTAAAGTGTCCACATCTTTTTATGAGGCGATTTGAGTCAGGGACAGCCGATGAAGTCTCACAAACCCTCCTTGCCTTTCATCCAATGACGCACAGAGAAGAGCGATATTACGCCTCCCAGAGTCCTGCTGTTATTGGTTAAGACCGCGTGGGCTGTTTGGCTTTGTAGCCAATGAAATAAGGTTTCAATCAAGGCTAGACATGGCTGGGTTATATAAAGCAGAGGCTCTGCTTTATATAACCCACAGCTGGGAGTGGATCAATGCGCAGCTCCAAGCTGAATAATAAAGACGGTTTGTTTTATCACAAAGCCTTAGGCTGAAAAGCTTGAAAAGCAGCAGTTTCACAATTTTTTTTATTATTATAGATTTTTATGTTATTATAGGTGTAAAAAAAGTTAATTTTTTTTATATACACTGATTCTAAAAAAAAAAAAACAGTGGAAAATACTTGCTTCATAAATATTTTGTGGCGATCAGAATGCTTCGGTGTTATTCTATGGGTCAGATGGAACAATCTGGCACCTTTGGAGTAACCTCGTGAGACCATCCTGAAGTTGCGAGCTTTCAAGGTTTCACTCTAATCAGTCTGGAGACTCTCCGTTGAAGAAAATTTGGAGCCGTTCACCAAACGAACGTCCAATCAGCGTTGGCTTTGAGGC